ATTCATCACACTTGAATTACCACACAATTACACATACTTGCACATTTTTATAAATCATCCACACACAATTCACTTTAAATGGTATACAACATATTTTACAAACAATCAGAATTGTATTATCATTACAACAAGAAATAAAGATCATGCATTTTTTTGTCACACCCAAAATAGAATTATACAAGAATACACACAATTATTCAATAAATTATCCACAAATAATTTCACAACCGGCAGCAAACAACACAACAATCCATTAATAGAACATATACACAATTGGCTCCCAAAACATATTAGATATAAAATATTGGGAAACCAATTCCCTTATTTATACTATGATATAGCTCTATTCATTAAATTTTCGACGCTTCGAACCGCGCGCAAATCTGACACCTAGAACTCAAGTTATGAATTTTCGAAGTTTTCTAAAAAAATCAACCCAGTGTAATCGATTACCACAAAACCGGCAACCGATCACACCCCCAAAAATCCAATTTTCCCATTTTCAGTGGTAACCGATTACCACATTAAGTGTAACTGATTACACCTGCTACAGAAGCACTTTTTCTGCAACCTTTTACACGAAAATCACTTTTGAACCCTCCCAAAGCTTAATTTTTCTTATAAATCATTTGAAACACATTTTAACATGAAAAAACACTTTTCTAAAGTCCCAAACCCTAAATCTCTTTCATCAAAATTACTCATAACCTTGTTCTGACTCTGACTCATGATCACACATGATCACAACCTCTACAACATCATACAGATCATCAACCATATGATTTCAGCAACAACAATCGCATCAATGTATCATTCTAACAACAATTACAACAACAACATCAGCACATAACATGCAATTAAATCATAATTTTATAATTTACACAATCATTCATTCATCAAGAACATGGATAGAGAAGGAAACACAAACCCTACATGTTATGATCTGCCCACCATTCATCATGTAATGCCTTAGATAATTAGAACCACGTCTTTACCTTGATTTTCTTGGATTCTTGAGTTTCCTCTCCTCTTCTCCTCTTTTTCTCCTTCGTCTCCTTTCCAACTTCTAACCCTATTCTACCTCATGCAAAAAAATGACTTCCAAGGGCGCTGAAGGGGTGAAGTAACCAGTTACATCATGAGGTAACCAGTTACCTCAGCAAAAAAATAGCAAAAGCAGAATTTCCAAAAGCACTTTTCAGAATCACTTATTACATGTAATCGCAGTGTAACATAACATAGAAGTAGATGCAAAATTCATGTTAATTCACAGCAAGTAGGAATCAATAAAATCTAGCATGCAAAGTAATCGTTCAAACAACGGAAATGAAATTAAACGCTACATTGCGAAAATACGAAATAGTTCGAAAGTGGTAAATTAAGCAGAAATTTACCAACCTATAAGGTTGAGGTTTGCCTTGGTAATTGTTGAGAAAGAAATGTGATTCAAAGAAGCAAAGAAAACAATAGAATTCAAAGATCCTTAGTAATCTGTAGCGAAAAAATCGGAGAAAACGCGATAAATGCTTCGGATCCGAATTCGCACAAAAACACCTTCAATGATCAACTTCCCAAGCTTGAATTAAAGTAGAAGTTGTTGTTACCACAAAATTCAAAGAAGAAATATAGTGGAATGCAGGTATAGCTCGAAGATTAGCAAGTTTCAATGTGAAGCTTTCTAAGCTTTAATAGTGGAATGAGCTCTAGTGGTGGTATGGAAAGAAGAAAGTGATGATTGAGAGAGAAAGTTGCATAAAAATTATAGCGAATTGAGAGTGAATAGTGAAAAATAAGAGAATGATAAAGGTCCAAGGGTCCTTTGCAACAATGTGAAGGTTTGATTAAATAGAGTGTGAGTTTGGAGTGAATTGAGGCTTGGAACTTGGTTTGGGGTTAGTTAAGGGTGGTTTGGCTTTTGGTTTGGAGTTAGTTAGACTCAACTCACTGAGTTGGAGTCTCACTGAGTTAGTTATTTGTAACTCAGTTGGAGGATCCCAATGCAAGCTCAATGATCAAGTGGTTCGCATGAGTGGAAATAAGGGTGCATGATGAGTTTTATTGGTGGTGATGTATTGGAGAAAATGCAAGTGATATCTCGAAGTATCTAGAACCTTCCACATAATGCTAGAACAATGTAGATCATATGAGTATAATAGGAGTTTTTGTAATGCTGAAGAACAAGTGAAAATCTGCAAAATACGCAGGTGTAACCGGTTACATGAATGTGGTAACCGGTTACATCATGAAGTAATTGGTTACCTCATGCAAAATTTCACTTCTTTGGCTTGAATTGCAGTGCTTTGGCTGTGGTTCTGCATTTTAACCTTGTGCTTTGATATATAGGCATAGAAATCCCTCTATTTGGCTTATATCGAGGTTGTGATGACTCTGTGGGGATGTGACTAATTATGGCTTTGAAACTTTCTGAAATTATGGATATGCCTGCAACAAAACCATAGAAAAATGCTAATGCGTATGCTGGAAATGCGAGTGCACATGCTTAAGCAAAAAGGCAAAAGGGGAGGTTAAATTTTGGGTTATGACAAAGTGTACTCACCACAACCATTAGTTCTCAACCATTTGATTGCATATTCAGCCTGATTCTCAACTCACAACTTTAATCTCTTGAAATTAGTGAACATCTTATTTTCCTTCTCCAACATGTAAATTCACATATATCTAATAAATTCATCTATGATGGTTAGAAAGTATTAGTTACCTCATAATGAATTCACTTCAAAGTGATCACACACATATGAGTGCACAATCTTCAATTTCTAGTATGACTTCATTGGCAAGTCATGTTAGAATGACCTTCTTACTTTCTTGGAAATGCAACATTCCTCGCATGGCTTCTTTAGCATTGTGATCTTGGGAAGGTTATACACCATCTTCTTTATATGCATCAAGTCAAGTCTTCAACAATTGAGATGGTTAAACCACTGATGTCGAGTCCAATTTCGATCTCCAATTGTGGTTGATGCAAGACATTGATGATCTAGCATGTTGATCATAATCTTGAATGTCCTGTTGGTTTAGAATGGTGCCTTCTAGATTAGTTAGGAACTTCGATCAAACATCTTGAGCTCTTTATCTTTTTCCCTCATTATGTAGTCTTTGTCAAGCAATTGACCTAAGTTGATCAAGTTGCTTGTCATAAAAGAAACATACAACACATCACATATGATAGCTTTTTGTCCATCTTTCATCTTTACAAGAATGTTTCTTAGTCCTTCTTATGTGGCCATGCTATTGTCTGCAAAGCTAATGGACCTCCTCATTGATTTCATCAAGCTTAATAAACCAATATTTATTACTAATCATATAATTGGTTTACCTAGGGAAATGATACCAAGCATTGATTTTGTATTGAGCCAAGTGTGTATTAGCCATCAAAATGACCTCTTATGAGTCACTAATTCCAACATGAGCAAATTGTGTTACATTCTTGTGATTATCCTTTAATTATTTGTTGAAGTAACAGTCCCCAACATAGTTTTTATATTTTTGGCAACAATGGCATTGGACTTCCTTCATCTTCACATTCCTTTTGAACTTTTTATTGCAAGGAGCGTCATTTGCCCGTCTCATCTTGAATAATTAAGTTCTTGCCTACACCATCACTTTCATTCCATAACTTCTTCCATTTTTTTTTGCCTTTGTTGTTCTTTGAGGAGTTTTTTCTTTCATTTTCTGGAAGAATTTGATCTGCAAACTTGTTCAAACACCTCTAAATTTTTTTGTTCCAGTCTCAACTCGTGAGCTTCAAGAGATGCTTGCAATTATTCAAGCTTCAGTTTTGATAAATCTTTGGACTCTTCAATGGCCACAACTATGTGATCAAACTTGATAGGAAGAACTCTTAGAACCTTCTCCACTTTCGATTGTTGAAATATTCTTTTTCCACACGACTTCATTTGATTGGTCAAAACCACCAGTTTTAAGAAGAACATAGCAATTGATTCACCATCATTCATCTGTAAATTCTCATATTGTTCCCTCAAAGAATGTAGCTTGACTTTCTTTAGTTTCTCGTCCCCACCATATAACTTCTCGAGTGTATCTCACACATCTTTGGTCGTTTCTTGCTCAATTGTCTTTTCAAAGACATTTGAATGCCGACATTGATTGATCAAGAACAAGTTTTTCTCATCTTTCATACTCATTTCACGATGAGTAACTTTTTGTGCCTCAGTAGCATTTACCTATAATACTAAGAAGGCATCATTTAAAATTTCAAACACATCTTAAAATCTAAATATTACTTTCATTTGCACACACCATCTATGAAAACTAATAAATTGACTAAAAATTGATTGAAAGTTATACTTCTATTTTCTATGGATGGAGATTGAGGATCAAACTTGGCTGAAAATTGATTAAAGGTTGTACTTCTATTTTCCATGGATGGAGATTGAGGATCGAGCTGTGTTCTGATATCAATTTCTTAGGTAACTTATGTTCTAAGTTACTTACAAATTAAAGAAATAAAGAAAAATTAAAGAAATAAAGAGAACTAAAAGCTATTGAAAGAGAAGTATTATTGGAATGGAATTGAGTTAGTGTTACAAACACGTCTAACATCATTTATATAAAATTATACTACTTAATAAATAACTTCTAACTAATAACTACATGTATAACTATGAGTAACATCATTTGAAACCAATAGTAAGTTATAATTGCCTAACCACATTATAACTAACTTCTAAAACTGAATTAGATATCTAATAAAAAAACAGCATCAAAGTGAAACAAAGATTGATGATGGGGTGAAAAAAGTCTAAGATATAACATTGATAGCACTCTGACAACAATCAGTTGGCAAAAAATATATTAGAATAGACTGTAAATAAATGTCTTGTATAAGTTTAAAAGCAAAATAATAAAATGGCTATTAAAAAGATCTATCTTCAAAGCAAACACAAAATCACCCTTTGTATATGCATAAACTAATCTATTTGAAACCTAATAAGTGTTTATGATTTGTTAGCTTTCTCTTAGCTTCTATTTAATGAATCCCAATTAGGTATGTTTGCAGTAGCCTCATTCACCATCTTTACTAGCCTCACCTGCAAAAATTACCATTTCAGAATCTATTAATATGGCGAAACTTAACAAGTTACAAAATCATGTCGAATTCTAAAAGAATAGACTTACCACACTTTCGGGAACTCCGGGTGGTGGTAAGGAAATGTTTTTAGGAGGAGGACCCATCAGATATGATCTCTTGTCAAAACGCCATTCTCCAATCTTCCCGTATGTGAGTTTCCCCTAGACGAAGAATCGATAACAAGTAAATTACCCGATAATCAAACAACTAAGCATGCAAGACCGATATAGGTTAAAGGAAAAAGCAATGAAGTCACCTTCAAATCGTAGTCACACCCATATGTATAATGTATGATAAACGTCTTCCCTACCTCTAAGTCCCATGGCGGCTGAAAATTTCCAATGATTCATGTGACTAACTTTACGAATTTGTTAAGTAAAAACGGAAAGAAATGGGAGAAAAGAAAAAGAAAAATACTAGACGATATGAGAAATTCGAACCTGCAGCATAAAGTCTTTCCGCAGAGTGTGCTTTATACCATGCAACGCAGACGCCACAGCATAAGCATACCTTTACTCAAAAGAGAGTTAAATTAGTAGAAGGTTAGACCTATATCAGTACATTATTTAAATAAGATAGTAACAAGAAATAAAACCGCGGGTGTTGTTTTTTCTACTATAATTCGTAATACTTACATTTCAAGCACCCATCCGAAAGCTTTATCTGTCTCAGGATCATCTTTCATTCTCAACGAAACGTTCACCCAGGTGGGAGCTATTTCCTCCAACAAATACTGATGATACAGAAAAATCAAACCCTTGAAATGTAATCGGTCACAATGTGCAAGCTATTATAAGTTGAAACTTCACCTTGTGGATTATTACGGGGGAATTGCCAATGGGATCAACATCAGTAACAGGACCTTTTTCCTTGGGATAGAATTTTCTCATAATTTTCTCATTTTCAGCTGGTTTTATATAGAAAAATGGATACCCTGCTGGTTCGTTTTCTGAAGCCAAATTAGGCAAAGGATTAACAAATATGTGGTCAGGTTCTGCCATCAGAATATATCTGCACAAATGATAAAATACACAGCTTCTTAGATTTCATTCTTGAAAAAAAAAACATAAATTCGAGAGAATTAAAACACTTACTCTTCATCGATAACCGCTTTCTCCAGCCATTGAACAAACGCCCATGGTCTATTTAGGACTATATAACCCTGAACCAAAACAAAAATATAGAAAGATCAATCAAGAACAATGATATTCATGATGTGGTGGATTAGTGTTGTCGGATAGTTACTATAGCGCTTAAGCGTTGCAGAGTCTGAACAAATCACTATTGATCTGTGATACACACTATGTAGCACAAAGTTTGTCGAATAAAGGCTATACAAGAATTGGAACAACCCGCTATCAGCAATTGGCAACAGTGTAGTAGGTAATTATCAATAGTTTGGAACATGTTAAAAACCTTGTCAATATGGAAAGGGCAACCATTCATCGTTACAGAAAGCATACATGCAGTCGTAGATGCTTGCATTGAAAACAATCAATATGTTACAATTGTATATTACTATGGACAAATCTGAAATTTCCCAGGTGTGTCAATCACCACCTACTATTTAAAAATAATAAGTGCCATAATTGTCAAAATTATTAAGGATATTAAGATAAAACCATTCATGAAAACCAATCATTCATAATTCCCTTTACTCTCATCTCATTGCATTTCCATTAAGGAGGGAGATTTTTTCATCAGTTTTAGAATAACAAACTATATTTACAATGATCATAACATTTGACACAATCACAATCATAAAGTTTGGATTACAAATAAATTAACCTTAGGCTTCTTCTTTCTCTCCACCGTTCCACTTTTATGTGAATCTTTTTATACAACTTAATCAACAAAATATTGTGATTTCAAACTTAATGACTAAACCTTATGTAATAGGTTTTCAATAACGGTCGTGGTCGCGTAAAGGCTTTCGCGATTTCGTTCGGTACAGGTGTTGCGACACTGATTGCAGTTGTCGCGGTGTAATTAACTACAATTTGTTCTTTATCGTAAAAATGGTGAATAATAGTATCGGCATCGGCACCTTCCCATACCGTTTTGTCGCAACTATTTTCGCAGTAACAGACCGTGTTTTAAACCTTATACATTATTTTAAACAAACAACTATGTCATTCTTTATGTCAGGATTTGTAAACTTGATATATGATCAACAATTCACCAAAATAACATGCTGAAAAGGTAGAAACATAAAAGTACATACCCTATCCAACCCATCAGGAAGAGGATCAACAACAAAAGTAGGAATCTCATTCATCAACTGATCTCCCTTTCCTGAATGCAGAATTCGGGTAAACTTTCCCATAGCCGATCCAGGCATAACCTTCGCCTTCTTATACCAATAATACATAATCCTACATTGCCATTGACTGTAAGCAGCATCGGTTGCAGTAACAGCAACATGAAATTTTGATTTCGTATTCATAAACTCCACTTTTCCATCAACAATAGAACCCAGATCACTCCCTACTTTATGTCCTACTATCATCGAAACCAAATTATAAGTCGCAAAGAAAAATCCCAACACCATAAGCAGCATAAGTACTGACTTTACCCTCCCCAGGCTTTTCCTCACAATCATTTTCTCAATCTCTAATCCTACTATCAACCCTACCTAATTCTTCTCTCTGAAATATCTCAGAATTCAGATTAAAAGCCCTGCAGTTCTTCAAAATCACAGCTTAATCTCATTCATACTAATAATCAATAGAAACAAAACAAGCCTTTACTTGAGTTATTTGTTCCACAAGAAAAATCTGCAACAAAGCAAACAAAAGGAGTTACATATACATATAGTGAATGTGACACAGACACAACAGAAATCAAAATACAATTTTTATAAAACCCCAAAATCAGAAACAAAATTCATAGTTGAATTGTCAAATAAGACTCACTCACGTAAACGTAAACGGATCTGATGCTGTGCGTCAACTCAAGGCACCCCAATGAGAAAGATTAAAACTTTGATTAAGAAGAGACAGAAAAGAAGGAAATTTGGATGAAAATAGAAAATGGGTAGCAGGTGTTTGATGAAATGAAAAAGAGAAATTTTGGGGTTTTGAGTTAGGAACATGAAAAGCAATGCAATGAAAGTGTTGAGTGATTAGTGGAAAAAGAAGAAGGAGAGTTGAAGTTGTGTGAGTGAAATAAATGGTAAAGTAATGTTTGAGGAAAGTGAAATGGAATTTCTCATACCAAATTAGGAGGAGGGTGAGAGTTTAGAGATGTAAGAATGTTTTATTCAACTTTATGATTATACAAAATTAATTAATGGAAACAAAACTTGTCTAGGAAAAAGAGGTAAGAGCTAACATTGTTTCAAAATATTTTTCTTTTAAGACTTTTACACATCTTATTTCAAAAGAAAAAATTGAAAAAAAATCTTACATGTTGACTATAACAAATAAGCTTTTACAAATAATGCATCACAATTTTGTAAATTAAAAAATAAAAATAAAAATAAAATAAAATAACACATATATTATATAAAATAGTTCACATTTTGTTCTCTCCTTTGTTATCACTATTATTCCATTATTTCTATTAAAAATAAATTAAATTTTAAATAAATTATAAATTTTAATTTAAAATATTGATACTTTAATGATTGTTTCTAAGAATATAGATATAGGTGTTACAAAAGAGTTTTTCAAATATTGATGGTTTTTTTTGTAAATAGTTTAAAAATTAGAAATTTAAATTTTAAATATAAATAAATAATATTATAAACAATTATCGATATTTTAAAATAATTATGTTTTTTTAAAAACATCCTTAAATAACCAATTTTTCAAAAAAAAATTACACAAAAGGATGTGTCACTATCTTTGGAAAGTAATTACTTTGGTTTTTTTTTCTAAAAAAGTGATTATTTGAAGATTTATTTTTGAAAAAATATGATTATTTTTTAAGAAAAAATTTACAATTATTAATTAAATTGGATTAACGAGAAAATCAATTATTATTTTTATTAAAGTCATTTTATTAACTATTATTTTGCTGGCCACATTTGAATATAATACTTTGTGAGTAATGTTTAAATGATAAAATTAAAAGTATATTGAAAATAAAAAATAATATTTATTTTAAAACATTTTTTTTGTTAAAATGGAAGTAACATAATATTAAAAGTTCATTAAATTCTTTATAAAAAAAGAGAAATGATAAAAAAAAAAATTTATTCCTTGATAAATAAAATTACAATTTCATCAAAAGAGAAATGCTTAGTTATGAGTTAGTTTTTTGTTTTCCTTTGGTCAAAAGATATATATAAAGTTCTCAAACCACCATTATTTTATCTAATATAAAAAAATTATCAACCTAATCAAAGATTTTGAATTTAAAACCATTCATAAAAATGTAATAATATTAAATAAATAAAAGTAAGTGAAATGGATGAGTGTGATGGGGTGGGGGCATAGGGGTCAGCATCAAAAGGAATGAAAGAAAGTTTGGTCACAAGACATTCCAATTTGTCTCCTTTGAGTATTCATAAAGTCACTTTAAAGTGTTACAACAAATTGCTGTTCATGTGTGTAGTGAAACCCTGTCCTATTCTATATTGCTTTTAACTTTGGATAAATTCTATAATACTAGGCTAGATTCGAATCTCATTTGATTCACTTTTTCAACTAATAAATTATACTCTCTCATAAGCTAGAATATATCACTTCTCTAAAGAGACTAGTTAATAAATTGAAGAAAAAAATTATTAGTTGATTTTGGTAACTATTTATGATTTGATGTGGATGTGTGTATGATATTAACTATTGATTTGTTTATCATCAATTGATATTATATGTTTTATTTATGTGCTAGTGCTATCTTCTTACTGACCAACATATCTAAATAAGATATCTCAATCTCTACTCTAAAAATGGCATGAAAGAGTGATATAAGGGAGGGTTAACAATGGAGGGTTGCATGGTGACTGATTATCCAATTTCACTAATAGTGACAAGTAATCAGGGATATATTGAAATTAATTTAATAGATAATTTATACAAGTTATCCTCAATTATAAAGATTAAAATTATAATTATAATTTAAGATGGAAATAAAACAATCTCATTAACATGCAACTTATCAAGCATTATATAAATACTTAGATTTGACGATAAAGAGTCATTAATTTGTGGTTCTTTCTCAATTTGAACTCCTTATGTATTAGACCTCTTTATATGGGGAAAGATATGTTAAAACAAGATTTGTTCATGACATATATTTTTTAGGTTTTGATGATAACAAAAAATTGAAAAACAATTGTGTTATCTAATGTGTGTTCTAAGTATGCAGGTTTCAAAGCTTAAAAAGAATCTATTCAGAATCTATTAAGAGAATCCATTTAGAGAAGCTAAATTCTTGACTTCTGATGGTTCAAAACCGAAGGACGTTCATTAGTGAAGTCTGATGATATATGATTACGTAGACTTTGAAGCTGAATGTATCAGTATCAAAAGAGCAACATGTTATCTCTATACTCATTGAATGTATCAGCTTCAGATAATCATTCAGAATCATAGACAAAGCTAAGTAATTTGTACTGCATAAAACAAGCTACATTTTCAAATCAGTGTGTCAGCTAGAGTCTATGTTCACATGGATCAAGGAGAGTTGACATACTTTACGAATATCCACTATCAACAAATCTATAGTACAACTCACAAGAAAGACGCTATGGTTAAACAAGTTACACAATAGAAAAAGATCTATTTGTGTATCTATCTTCAACGTCTCTTAGTACTATAGAGTGACAAAGACATTTGTGCAAGTTATCTCTTCCAACGACTACTCTTTTGTATCTGCTATTTATGTAGGTGAAGATTCAATTTGAAGAATCAACAAGGAATAAAGAAAAAGGGCCGAGCATAAAAAGAAGTGTTTTCACGCTTACATCAGTATGGATGAATAACAAGACCAATAATAAACAACAGCGTCGAGTATGCAGAGTTTATGTCATCTGTTGTAAATTGCACAAAGCCTTAAGATTTCTTAAACGATGTATATCTTAGAAATCTTAAGTCTTGTGATCTTTGTTAAGGATATTGCTTTGTACCTCTGATTGTATATCAGGTACTCCTTGTTCTCTATTGTGCTAAACAAGTTGTTTAGTAGTTTAGAAAGAAAGTCTCTTACTATGGGCTTGAGCATCAAAGTCTCTTGTTGTGATCTTGAGCCAAGTAAGCCTCTTACTATGTGCTTGAGCATTGAAGCATTGATCAAATTGTTGATTAAGTAGGAAGTCTTGACTTGAGGAAATATGTAGGAAGTCATCAATCTGTGGGATTTAAGTAAGGAAGTCTTGTACTATGAGTCTAAGTAGAAAACCTTGTACTTAATGGTATAAGCAGGAAGTCTTGAATCCGAGGGATTTAAGTAGGAAGTATCGATCATGTGCTGATTGAGCAAGGAAGTCTTGGACTGTAGGTCTAAGCAAGGAAGTCTTGAATCTGAGATGTTTAAGTAAGGAAGTCTTAGATTTTTGGAATCTAAGCAAGCAAGTCTTAGGTTGTAGGTATGAGCAAAGAAAAGTGTTATGCTCGAGGACATGAGAAATTGTAATCAGTTTTAATTATAGTGGAAAATCTCTTGTGTTGCAAGGGGACTGGACTACTCTCGGTTTGGGAGGAACCGAGATAAATTTTGTGTGGTCATTTGTCATTTACTTGCTTATGTTTATTATTCTGCTACATTCATATTATCGGAATTTGAACTATTATTTAGAATCTGAATCCTGATTGTAAGCAACGCAAATTGGAGAACACAATTCAACCCCCTTCTTATGTATTTTTCTCACTTTCAGTTGGCATCAGAGCATGGTCTGTGTGTAACACTTAACAGTGGAGCAAATAAAGATCCAAAGAGAAAAATATTTCTGCTGAAGATTTTTTTCAAGAAGGAATCAAGTACCATATGAAAAATTAGTACTCTGTTAATCCTCTCATCTCCAGTGGTAACTCCAGTGAATTTGAATGGTGGAAAAGCAAAACATACTCATATATCATTGGTCTTGATGAAGAGCTATAGTATATCCTTGAAGAGGGTATTGTTATAGAATTTGATGGTATTGGGATGATCAAAGATAGAAAATCTCTCACACCATTTCAGAAGAAGTTATAACAGGAATCGTCATAGAGTTAATTGGCATCAGAGCATGGTCTGCGTGTAACACTTAACAGTGGTGTAGATAAAGATCCAAAGAGAAAAATATGTTTGCTGAAGATTTTTTTCAAGAAGGAATCAAGTACCATATGAAAAAATTAGTACTATGTTAATCGTCATATCTTTAGTGGTAACTCCGCTGAATTTTAATGGTGGAAAAGCAAAACATACTCATATATCATTATTCTTGATGAAGAGCTATAGAATATCCTTAAAGAGGGTATTTCTATAGAAGTCGATGGTGTTGGGATGATCAAAGATAGAAAATCTCTCACGCCAGCTCAGAAGAAGTTATAACAGAAATCATCATAGAGTTAGAGGCATTCTGGTAGATGTTCTACCTCATTCTAAGTATATCAAAATCATTGATAAGTCTACTGTTAAGACTATTTTTGAATTCTTGTGTTCTACATATGAAGG